GGGCGCGGGGGCGCGCCGTAGGCGCCCATTGCAAGGGCGGGGCCGCTGTGCGGCGGCGCAGCAAAGCCAGGCGGCGCGTGGTGGCCGGCCGCGCCCAGCAGCAGCGCAGAAACGCCCGGCAGCAAGTGCGGCGGCAGGCCGTGGCCGCTGGCCGCGGCGGCGGCGGCCGCCGCAGCGAGCGCGTGGTGCTGCAGCGCACCGGCGCCCAGCGACGCCTCGAGCGCCCCGCTCGCCGCCGGCGCGTGTCCCGCGCCGAGCGGCGCCGCCGCCGGCCCAAACCCGGCCGCGTGGTCCTCCCCCTCGCGCCAGCGCCGCTGCTGCTGCGCGTGGGCGTGCGCGTGGGCGTGCGCGCTCACGGCCAGGTGCGCCGCTGCGTGCTGCTCCGCCTCCAGCTGGTCCTCACGCGCCTTTATAAAGTGGGCGATATACACGTGAAGGAAACCGCCCTGAACCTTCCGCTGACCCCCAGGGCTGCCCGCCGCGCCCGCCGTGCCGCGCGCGTCCGCAAACGGCGGCGGCGCGACCAGCGGCGGGCCGAACGGCGGCCGGCCGCCGGCCGCGGCGGCGGCAGCGTTGGCGGCGGCGGCGAAGGCCAGGTCTGGCCGCAACAGGTGGGGCGGCGGCAGGGCCGCGAGCAGCTCCGGTGGCAGCCCAACAGGTGGCAGCCCCGCCCACGGCGCGGCGAGGCCCGGCAGCTGCGGCAGGCCCGGCGGCAGGCCCGGCGGCAAGAGGCCGGAGGCCGGCGGCTGCGGCTGCGGCGGCGGCGGCTGCAGCGCATCGAGGGGAAAGGGGGGCGGCCGTGCCGCGCCTGTGGCGGGCGGCGCCATGCTGCCGAGCGCGGAGCTCGGGAACGTCGTCGCTGCGGGGGCACCCGAGTGGAGGCCGTTGGTGAGGCCGTTGGGCAGCGGCGGTTTTGGGGGCAGGGCCTGCTTGCTGGGGGACACCGGCCCCGCTGCACCCTGCTTGACGCCAGGCTGCTGCTGCTGCTGCTGCTGCTGTTGTTCCTGATGCCCGGGGGGCAGCCGCGCCACCTCTGGCTGCTCCTGAGCGCCCGTCTGCTGCTGCTGCTGCTGCGGCGGCGGCGGCGTCTGCTTTGGCCGCTGCGACCGCGCGTCCCCAGCGTCGCCGTCCTCCAGGTCAGACGACCAGGAGCGCTTGGTGCCGCGCAGGCCGTCCGCCGCAGCGCCCGCAAGGTCGGTCTGGGAGCGCCCAGAAGGGCCCGCCCTGAGGCCGCCGACCGCGCCCCCCCGGGACCCGCGCCCGCGCCCGCCGCGGCCCCGCTGGCGGCCTCGCGCCCGCCGCGCCGACCAGCCCCCGCCGTCGCTGTCGCCGTCGCTGCTGCCGAAGCTGCTGCTGCTGCGGCTCGGGCTCGAGCCGGGTGCAGCGCGGGCGCCGCGGCCCCGCCCGCGGCCCCTGCCACTGCCGCGACCACGGCCCGCGCCGCCACCGCCGCTGCCACCGCCTGGCTGCTGGGCCTGGCCGCCCGCGCCGATCTCCGCGTCCACCGCAGCCGCGCTGAGAAAGCAGAGCGCCTCCAGGGCGGCCTGCTCGTCCTGCGCAGAGCGAATGCATTGAGAGGTTGCTGGTAGGGTGGGTTTGGAGGTGATGGCTTGCGGCGTCGGGCGGACGGATATGGCCCTTGCAGCTGAAAACTGCGGGCGTCGGTCAAACAATCGCCCGAAAAATCACACCCTGACGCCGCGTAGAACGGGAGCGTTAGAATCAGGCCGCCGCCATAAACGCACAAAAGCCGTGAAATAACACAGCGGCGCAACGTGACGGTCGTGAGAGAGAGACTACTCCGGCGGCAAGCAGGCAAATGCACAGCAAGCACGACAGCCCCAAAGCGCACCTCCTCAAATGGCTGCGCGTCGTCCAGAGCCCATGGATAGGCGCTGCTATGGACGCGTCCATCCGGACCGCGCACGAAGGCCCTTGGACGGCGGACGAGGCCTGCACGCACAATGTGGGCCGTGGATTGAGTCGTCGGGCGAAGGATCCATTCTTGTGGGCCACGGGCCGGGCCAGAGGCGGCCTAAAGCTGCGTATTTTGCAATGCATAAATTGCACACACACCACCACCTGCCGCTAGACCAAGGCCCTGCAGCAACGATGCCCACCTCCACGCCTGGGCATACGCGGCGGTGTTGCCATCAGGGCCGGCAGCAGGCCTGCATCTTCGTTGTGGCTGTTGAGAGGCTGCTTGACATCCTCCTCCACGACGATGGCCTCGCCCGGTGGCTGGAAAACCACGGGCTCCGCCTTCAATGCTGGCTCCCCCTCCTCGCTTTGATGCGGGGGAACTGTGCTCGGCCCCATGAACGGCAGACTGACTATGCCTGGCGAAATAGCTTCAAGATTGCCAGGCGCATGGCAGCGCCTGGGGCCTGATTCAGCGACCAGCTTGCGGAACTGACATACACTCTAGGGAGAACCGCAAAAGTGAGTGAAACGCAAAGCTGCTCGTGTCGCTGTTGCGTACTGTCAGGATTTGCTGTCAGACCAGGCAGAAAATAGTAAAAATCTGCGAAGCTGCTTTTCCTGGAACGCCAACGCCGCGCCTGGTCGGGTTCAAAATAAGCGACAAACGGCTCGATTCATTTTATGCACATGACTCCTTTGGGCGATGCCCCTGGGGACGGGGGCAGGTGGCGTCAGCGAGTGTGCCTGTATCAGGCTCAACCCGAGCCTGGTGAAGAATGAAGCGGTAGTGCAGTGCAGGGGCGGCCTGCAGTTTATTATCAACATGAGAAGTTGTTGTGTGCACTCATGGCGCGGGTGGGTGCGGCGTTGGGGGTGCCACCTGCTGCGGGCATCACCACAAAACTGCTCAGACTACCAAACCGTCATTCAGGACAGAGCGGTTGTGGTCACCACCACATCAGCACAGGGTTATTGGCGGCTCCTGGTGGCGCGCAGGAGTTGCACACCAGTCAGGGGTTCAGGGGTTCACCACCATCAGGCGCAGCCTTCAGGCCTCGGGCACGAGATTGGCCTCGGCAAGCCGGTGGTGGCCTGCAGGAGTCACTGCAGGTGCCATGCAGCACCTGCTTATCAATGCCACAGCCCTGATCAGAGTCAGCCTCGCGCCTGCCCAGTGGTTCACAGCTGGAACGGGTGGTGCTGCGTTCAGGCAACCCAATGCAGGTACACCCTGCAATTTCATTCACCCCCTTGATTTCACAGATGCGACAAGTGGGGAACCCATGCATCATTGTCAGCTCTCAGGAGGGCTCACGTAGTGGGCTGGCATATGTGACAACAACACTTTGTCCCTCTCCCACTCCTGCCTAGCCCAGCTGTGTCACCTGCACACCCACCACGACTACAGGGCTGCAGCATTGGGCAGATTTACACCCTAAATGCACAGGAGCAACCGCTGGGGAGTCGGATTGTGGTGACTGTTGACGCTCACAAGTCATACCGCCCACCACATTGCGGCTACATTTCAAACAGAGGGTGCGCTTGGGGCGACGCAGCGTTCTCAGTGGGGTGAGCCTAACTTTGTTGGAGTCAAATCATTCTGATGAAGCCGGGAAAAAATAGACAATCATTGCATAAACGGGGAACAAGTGATAAAGCAGCCAACACAAACGGCACGCTGCGGAGGGCCCTCATCTGCCCCAGCCCTACTTCCAGGCGGCCGCAAGCCTGCCGCAGCGCTACAGCTTTGGGACTGGCTCACTGAAGCTGCACTAGCAACGGCCATGCGCACAGCCTGGGGCGGTGGCATCAGTTTAGTCGACCTCCTCCATGCGGGAGCCCTCGTCAGCGCCGACCTCCTCCTCCAGCGGCGGCAGGTCCTCAGCCTCGGCGCCTGGGGTGGGGTTGGGGTGTGTGCGCGCATGACATGAGCTGGACACACAAGCACGGCAGATCAACGGCACAGCACGGCCCCTGCTCGCGGGCTGGTGCCCCACATTCTCAACAACTACTGCAGAATCAAAGACGTGGTCCCAACAAGCAGCCCTGTTGTGCCCATCCCAAAAAGCTCCCCCTGCGTGCCGTTGCATGCCCTGTAAAGCAGAGACCCCCCCCCAAAACACGCTGGCCGCCACGCACCCTCGTCCTCGTCAATGGACAGGCCCAGCTTGATCATGCGGTAGATGCGGCTGGCAAAGGTGGCGGGCTCGTCCAGGCTGAAGCCGCTGGACAGCAGCGCGGTCTCAAACATGAGCAGCACCAGGTCCTTCACCGTCTTGTCGCTGCGGTCAGCCTCCGCGCGGGTGGCCAGCTCCTGCGGGTGGGGTTGCAATGTGCGCATGGTGTGTGGATCAGCAGGATGCACTGGAGGGTGGACCCATTGAAGGTTTAAGATGGTGCGTATCACCTGCGCTTTGCCTGCCCAATCACGGGGAGCAGGGACACACCCCAGCCCTGGACCAACCCATCCGTCCCAGGAGATGCAGCTGCCGCGCAGCACCGTACCAAATGACTGCACACATGTGGTGACTCCATGCCAATCGCATACTACAGAGTTGCAGGTGCCGACGCGACACATGCGTGCACCACAGCGCGCCATGGCGCGCACCTGCACGATGGCGTTGTCGGGATTGATCTCCAGCGTCTTCTTGGAGGTCATGTACGCGCTCATGCTGTTGTCCCGCAGCGCCTGGGCCTTCATGATGCGCTCCATGTTGGCGCTCCAGCCGTACTCCCCGGTCACCAGCACGCAAGGGGAGTCCACGATGCGGTCGGAGGCCACAACCTTTCAGGGGGGGTTGGCGGCAACGCAATTTAGCCAGAGAATCTTGCGCAAAGACAAGGGTGTTCAGCCCATGCAATGCACAGAAAACACACGTGTATACAGACCGCTGTGTCGTGTACAGCCACGGTTAGCCTTGAACAGCACACAAGACACCAGCCCAAGACCCCATAGCTGAGCTGGACGCTGCGCCCAAGTGCTGTGGCTCCTCACCTTCTCGACCTTGTCCCCCAGGATGTCCTTCATGAGGCGGCAGAGGGGCTCCACGCGCGCCTTCTTCTCCTCCTTCTCCTTCTTCTCGTCCTCGGTCTCATCGAAGACCAGGCCCTGGGGGGTGGGCGGACGGGGGGAGACGAGCAGGGGGGGAAAGGGGTGAGGGGTCACATCCTGGGACAACAGCATCAAGGCAGCGTGCGGCGCGAAAAAGCCCGCCCCTACCACTGAAGCGCCAGCGCCTCAAAGGCAGGACGGTCCATTCAGAGGGCTGACACCAGCCGCATGCGCCCATCCAACTGCCGCGGGGGCCCCACCTCCTTGGTGCAGGACACCAGCTTGTGGCCGTCGTAGTCCTTGAGCTGCTGCACGGCGTACTCGTCGATGGGGTCCACCATGTACAGCACCTCGTAGCCCTTCTTGCGCAGGCGCTCCAGGAAGGGGCTGTTCTCAACAGCCTTACGGCTCTCGCCTGCAAGATGCAGGGGAAAAGTTGGGGTTGGGCGTGGAGGGGAGGTTCAGCAGTGCGCCGCTGACAGCTAAGAGCGCGTACACGCGTGAAGATGCAGGGCACTGGGGTTGACTTGCAACAGCCCTCAAGCCAGCGCTCAGTGCCCGTTGTAATCAGCAGTGTGCTGCAGGGCCTAGCAACCCCCAGGTTGCCAGGGCAAGCGCTGTGCAGCCAATAGCCCCCGCTCAAAGGGCCCAGGCCCCCACCCGTGATGTAGTAAATGTCCTTCTGGCCCTCCTTCATGCGGGTGACGTAGTCCTTGAAGCTGGTGGGCTCGTCGCCGCTCTTGGTGGAGTGGTAGCGCAGCAGGTCGGCCAGCTTGGCCCTGTTGGCGCTGTCCTCGTGAACGCCCAGCTTGAGGTTCTTGCCGAAGTTCTCGTAGAACTTGCCGTAGTCATCCTTGTTCTCCGCAATCTCGCCGAACATCTGGGGCGGGTAGCGGTGGTAAAATGGGGCTACAGGTTGGGCTTTGCCACAGAGCACAAGAATGCACAAGGCAGCCCAGTTGACGGCTGCGCAGGCCAGGTTGCAATGCATCCTGCGGCTGGCAAAGGCGCGCACATAGCGGCACGGCCGGCCCTGGGAACAGTTCGTCGGCCAACACAGCTGGCCAAGACCCAACCATAATCAGGGCCCCATTCATAATCTCAACTCCAATGCCAACATTCCCCGCATGACGGGCAGCAGCCCACAGTGTGGCTTGGTTTGTGAAAAGCCTGTGGTGATGCAATTGCTGCAACTACGCGGCAGGGGCGCCTGCCGCCCCTGCTCATCCCCCGGCATCAAAAAATCACCCCACCCCCAAGGCCCCTCTCAAGATCCCCCCAAACGAGGGACGCCCCGCCCCCCACCTCGAGGCACTTCTTGACGATGTTCTTGCGGATGACCTTGAGGATCTTGTTCTGCTGCAGCATCTCGCGCGAGATGTTGAGGGGCAGGTCCTCGCTGTCAACCACGCCCTTCACAAAGGACAGCCACTCGGGGATGAGCTCCTCGCAGTTGTCCATGATGAACACGCGGCGCACGTAGCTGGGGGGAAGGGGGTGTACAGGTTGTACAGGTTGGGTCAGCGGTCCAGGCCCCGACACGACGGCACACGTGCACAGCTGCCAGGCTGCTGAGGAGGGGCCAACACCCCAGCGTCTCATGTGTCATGAGCTGCCCCCCAAGCAACACCAGACGGCCCCGGAAGCACTCCCCCACATCGGAAGTGCCCCAGGGCCGCTCACAGCTTGATGTTGTTGGGCTTCTTCTTCTGGTCAAACATGTCAAAGGGCGCGCGGCGGGGCGCAAACAGGATGCTCTTGAACTCCAGCTGGCCCTCCACAGAGAAGTGCTGCGGTACAGTGGCGGAGGGAGAGACATTTGACGAATGTCAGACTCAGCGACAAGATGAAGTTGCAGGTGTGCGAATAGAATGGCAAATCAGGCTCGATCTCCTCTCCGCGTGGTCAACCTTGTCGGTCACGAGGCCCTGGAGGCACCGACTGGGCCGCTGGCCAGTAGGGTCACATAGCGACTGCTCCTACTTCCTGGCAATTTGTCATGAACATGACCCCAACCTCCACATACCCAACAGCCCCGCAAGCTTCATTGTGCAAGGGCCCCGGGCTGCGCGCACCTTGTAGGCGAGCATGTCCTCCCAGTCGTTGGTGATAGACTTGTAGAACGCCGAGTACTCCTCACGCGTAATGTCGTCGGGGTTGCGCATCCAGATGGGCTTCTGCTTGTTGAGCAGCTGCCACTCGGTCTGCACCTCGGTGACCTTCTTGGTCTTCTTCTCCTTCTTCTCCTCGTCCTCCTCCTTCACCTCCTCGATCTTGCCCTCCTCGTCCTCGGCCTTGGCCTCCTCCTTCTCCTCGTCCTCGTCGTCAGACACCTGGGGGCCGGGGTGGGGAGCAATGGGCAACGGGCAGGATGGGGGTAAGGGATGGGCCGACCAGGCGAGGGAAGGGTTTCCGGAGGGAGGGGGCATGACAGACATGCATAAGGAGAGCACTCACAAGAGGGTTTGAAGCTGCTTAGCAAGGGCATACGGCTGGGGGCCCTGTTCCCACACCAAGCCCTCCCGAGAAGCGCGCGCTGTGAAGTGCACATCAACACCGGGCTGCTGGCCTGCGGAGACCAGCGCCACTTGCCTCCCATGAAGCCCCACTGCACCCCAACGCTTGCAGCACCCGCCTCAAGCTCCCGCCACGCCCACTGTCAGCACCCAGCCCCACCCCACATAAACGCCCCCCCGCCCGGGCTGCCCACCTCCTTGTTGACGGTCTTCTCCACGCGCAGCTCGATGGGGTAGCTGATGAACTCGCTGTGCTTCTTGACGAGGTCCTTCACCTTGCGCTCCTCCAGGTACTCCAGCTGGTCCTCCTTGAGGTGCAGCACGATGCGCGTGCCGCGGCCCAGCTGGGGGCCGTCGTCGCGCGCGACCGTGAAGCTGCCGCCGGCCTGGGACTCCCAGATG